TTTTTTTTTTTTTTTTTTTATGGCCCATAGATTTTTTATCCCCGACTCCAGACAACAAGAGTGAATGTCACTGGTAAGGGGAATGCAGATGGATTTAAAAAAAAAAATTCAAATTGATCACCAATTATGGAAAACACCACATTGATCCACAAGGCTACCTCAGTGAGTGGAAAGACCAGGAGGAAAAAAAACACTCCCAATCTGCTCCTAGTCTCTTCACTCATTTGAAAGCAAAACATCACCATAGGTTTGAAGTTTATTCTACTTTTGAGAGAGACACAGTGAGCGAGTGGGGGAGGGGCAGAGAGAGAATTGCCAGCAAGCTCAGCACTATCAGCACAGAGCCTGAGGCAGGGCTGGAACTCACAAACCGTGAGATCAAGATCTGAGCCGGAATCAAGAGTCAGCAGGCTGCATAACCAACTGAGCCACTCAGGTGCCCCTAGTCTTACCATAGGTTTTTTAAATGGGATAGTCCTATCAATCTTCTGTCATCTAAGGTACTTTTTGCTCTCATAGAAGAGGCATACAACTAGACTCTGCTGGCTGGCTCTTACCAGGAAAGAGTTACACAGAATCAGTTACCAAAGTGAGTTCATTTCTCAGCCTTGTGCTGGGCTCAGTAGGCTGGGGAGGGACTTCCGCAAGTTTGACTTAAAAATTGAAATTTCCTCAGGCATTGGAGAGTAGTGGATAATCCCTTCTTGTTGTATTTTACAAAACTTATATATTAAAAAAAAACTTATAATATGGGATTGACCTTAATATAAAACATCATCCTATTGTAAACAAGCCTTCCCATTCCATGACTGATTTATAATTGGTGAAGCTTGAAGAAGGGCTTTTCACATGTTCAACATACTATTTAGGGAAGACAGGCAGATAGTTTGAGCAACAGTTCTATTTCTTATCAATGAAATAGCTAGGGCAAGGCCTTGATGTTAGATGAAAATACTGGGTTAATTTCCTCCTAAATGAGTAAATGTATGTTTATCACCCTGAATAGTGCCTGATACATGGTACATGTGAGCTATGATTATCAGTTAGGATTGCAGGTGACAAAACCCGGAAATAATAGCTTAAATGAGTGAGGGTCTTATCTCAGAAGACAGAAGTCTGGAATAGGCAGACTTGGGAGCTCAGCACAATCATTAAAGATAGGGGCCCTCCTGGCTTCTTGTGCCATCATTTTTAGCGGTCACAAGATGGCTGCTGCTCTCCAGACATTGCATACACATTTTAAGCAGGAAGAAGGACAAACAGGGAAAGGGACCCCCTTCATCTAGTGAGGTTTTACCTTTTGATTTGGTAAGTGACTCCCTCAGACCTTTCATTAGATGCCCTGCAGGCTGGAGAAATGAGTATTTCAGCTGGATATATTGCCACCCTGAACAAAATGGTGTGTTACTCAGGACAGAAGGAGGAACGGATAGTGTGCAGGTATTTAGTAATGTCCAGCCAGGCTATCATTACCTCAACTGAAAGCCAAACCTAAAGAAATACAAGGTGGAGGGCCTGTTGAGGTGGGATCAGGGGAGAAACCGGTAGTCTTAGGTTTTGAAGTTATTCGCTGTCAAGTTCTCTCCCTTGCTTCTTGTTTCTATTGTCCCACTCACGTTTCACTCCAGACACTAGTCACCTCTCGTCTAGGTGTTCTCTTTCAACAAGAACCTGCCCGTTTTTTCTCCTTTAAGACCATTACAGACACTTCCTACCTTCAATGGCAATATCCAAACTCCCTAGGTTAATATTCATGGCCCTAACACAGGCTGATGGAGCTCAGCGAGCTGGGACCATCATATTGGTACCTATGCCTTGTTTCTGGAAAGACGTGTTTCTGCAAAGTCCACCTAATGAAAACCAGCTACTGAACAATTGGTATCACATCAAAAAGAAAAAAA